GCAGGGCATCCTGCACGGACGTGCAAGATGATAGCACGTCCGTGCAAGTCTGCACGTCCGTGCCAAAAGCTGCACGTCCGTGCAGACCTTGGCAGAAGCTTCTGCCTCCATTTTGGCTCTCCTGCACGTCCGTGCCAAACTTGGCACGGCCGTGCTTAGCCTTGCACGTCCGTGCCAAATCTGGCACGTCCGTGCAGACCTGCAGTCGAACTCCTTCCTTGTTTTCTCCGTCCTTTTTATTTGGGGGTCATATAAATACCCCTTTAGAGCTCATTTGTACAGGGATGCAGTTTTTTTAGAGCTTTCCTCTTAGCTTGTAGTCTTAGAACATTAAATTCTCAAATCATTAGTTAGTTCTCAATTATTAGCTTGGAAACATTCAAATTCAATCATTGTGGAAGACCAAATCCACCATTGTTGCTCACTTTGAAGCTTCATAGTAACCATTTCTTACTCATCTTTTCTACTTCTCTTTACTTTGTTGTTAATTATTTGCTAGTTCTTGCATGTTTTGGATTGTTAATTAGCTTAATCCTTAGTTTGAAGTTGTTCATGAATTGCTTGAAATCTTTAATTGCTTTAACCCCCATGGATTGTGAGTAGTCTAAATTCTAGGGTTTGGGCAAAATCCTCAATGTAGTCACTAATTACTTGTTGCATGTGCTAATTTGGTTGTTGTGGGATGTTAATTAGTTGAGCTTAAGTGGTTTAATTGCTTAGTTCTTGTATATGGCCATTGCTAGAACTATTTATCCAAGCTTTCTCAACGAAGGATCGAGAGATGAACTTGATTTAGCTCCCTTATGCTTGATTGACCCGAAATGCCATGAGAATAGGGATTACCGGTCAAGGGAATGTTTATGTCATCGTGATTATGCTTTAACACTTGTTTTATGCTATGTAACCACGAGAGTAAGTTATATTCATGATTCAAGTAGTCCCTCTAGCTTAAGATAGTAGTTGGGTGCTTTAGATGACTTCCCCTAATTTATCCCATTAATTTACCTTGATTGTTGCATGCTAATTGTGATTTGTGATGAAATTGAGTGGTATAACCCAAGCCCTAGATTCCTCTTAATATTGTTAATCTCCTCTTAGCTTTAGTTGAATTGAATTAGAAGAAGTTACTCAAAACCAACCCAATTTAGAATTCATTTAGCTTATTTAAACGGTAGTACTCGGTGGTTGATTCAACGCCTCTCTTGGTTTCGACCCTTTTCTTACCCTTACTATTGTTAGTGAGACCAAGATAGGAGTTATTATCTTTGGTAGGCTCGACGACGGCCTATCACTTATGTTGTGATATTTGTGTGAATAATGGAAAATGAATGATGGAAAAATTCGTCCAAAGTCAAAAGAGGCAAGGACATAAGAAATGCAAAATTGTAAAAGTCTTCCTAAGTTAAAGAGGCATGGACAATTTCTTTGAAAGAAATGAAAATTAAAAAAAAAAGAAATGAAAAATCAAAAATATTTTGTTGTGATTCTTTTCCCCTTTTCAAGCATTGAGTACAATGCTTCCTTTAAGCTTGGGGGAGAAGCGTTTACGCTTTTTGTATATATGATTGTGGTTATAACTTTGAATAAGCTTGGGAGTGTTAGTTTGTTTTTGTTTGGTGATTCTTGATTATGGTGTTGAGGATTGATCACCCTTTGCTTTACTAATTAGGAATACCACCAAATTCTAAATTTTAAGCCTACCCTCAACCTTTTTGCCCTTACGTTACAACCATTGGGAAAGAGCTTTGGATCTAGAGGTCGAGTCATATACCGAGGGAGGACATTATGAGTTAAAGCCTAAGGAGAGGGGATGCATCGTCAAGACGTCGAGTAGCCCAAAATTATCTCTTTTTCCGGTTCCTTCGTGGAACTTTTGAGATGCTCACTAGTGGAAGATATGAGAATAGTAGGGAGAACGCGGTAAGACCTTTTGGGATGAAAGTGAACTGCATTTCTCTAGTTCCTATGCTTAGCATATTTATGTTTCAATCAACCTCGAGTATCTTGAAACGTGCACTCCCTTACTTATTTAGAAAGATTTGCATTCATTTGTGCTTGTACATTTTAAAAAGTCCTTTCATGAACATGTGTTTGCTCTTCTTTTCTTTTGATTTTCTTCTCATGCTTTGCCTTGTTTGTATTATTATGAGAGTTATAGGTTAATCTCTTAGGAAACCTTTACAAGAGCAACACTTGTCCTCTAGGGCAATCTAGGGGTTTAAATAGCTTGTCTTTAGTTACTAAAATTGACCTTGATTCCTACGAAAGTGAGTTAGTGTATATTCCCATCTTCTCTAGTTTTCTTGTTTCTTTCTTTGCTTGAATAATGTCTTCATTTTTCCCTTGGGTTGGATTTTGTTTTGCTCGAGGACGAGCAAAATTTTAGCTTGGGGGAATTTGATCCGTGCCATTTATGGCACCTTTAGGCTATGTTTTTTTTTTATATTTCTATGCTCGTTTTTAGTCGTTTATGTCGTGTTTTTAGAGAATAATGCTCGGTTTGCGTGTTTTTGTGTTAGTTTAGAGAAATGAGTGCTTTTAATGGTTTTCTTATCATTTTATTCATTTCTCGGCTATTTCTCTCGCTTCTCCGTTTATTTATCTCGTTTTGTAGGTACGTTGCGGGCTATATGCATGGGAATAGCATCCACTAGGATCGATATGCACTTTTCGGAATTGAATTTGAGTTAGAAACAAAGGAAAACGAAGGCTTGCAAAGTATCAAAAAGGACCTTTGTGCATTGTTTCAGCCATATCTCGAGTTCTACAGATTGGGTTGAGGTGATTCAAGTTGGGTTAGAAACTAGACTTGAAGAGCTTTCCAATGATTGATTTCACGCCTTCATAAATTCCTAGATTATGAGTTATAGCTTTCCGAAGTTGGTCCTGCAAATCTTCCACGGGCGCGGGCTATAGTACCCGCGGGCGCCGGGCTGCTGCAACCTATTTCTGCCCATTTTCAACCAGGAACTTGGAGAGGGCTGCCAGCGGGCACCCCGCGGGCGCTGCCTTGGGCTGCTCTATTCCAGCTATTCTCCTCCGCGGGCACGACCGATTTCTCCGCGGGCGCGGCTTTTTGGGTTTTACTCGCGATTTCTTTTATTTCCTTCTTTTGTATATATAGTATACGACCTTCTTTATTCTTCATTCATGAAATACTTTAGATTAGGATAGTCTCTCTCTAGAATTAGGTTAGAATAGGAGGTTCTCTCTCTAGATTAGGAGTAGATTTTAGAGAGAGAAAGTGAAGGATTTCAATGGTGATTGAGAGATTGAATATACAAGGGTGACAATTGTGTTGAAGATCATCTCTATTATCAATGAGAATTCTTAACTCTATCTCACCTTATTGCTTTGTTTAATTTCAAGTTTGTTTGGTTTAATTTTGATGTTTGATGCTTGATTAGTGTAATTGTCCTTGATATATTGTTGATTCTTAATTCCTTTAGTTGATTGTTGATAGATGATGATATTTGAGTAGTTGTTGGCTAGGAATTGGGTGAAACTTGTATGATTGATTAATTGTGATTAATTTGGGAATTGTGTTGATTGATTGTTGAGATTAAAATGATTAATGAAGGTTTGCATGTGTGTAATTCGATTAGGCCTTGAGAATTATGCTAGATTGCATTGTGATTGCAAATGACACAACAATTGATTTAGTAATTGCAATTATCGATTGGTTTTGATTGTGATTATCTTAGTTTGTTATTCATAGTGAACCCTAGCTTAACAATTAGGAGGTAGCTCTTTGATTCCAATTGATTGCTCTTATCATTAGTCCTCACAACCTTTGATTGACATGCTCTTCCCAAGTTGTTACAATTGACATGATTACTTGTTGATCCCCGCTCCTCGTGTTTTATTTCCTTGGTTACATGTTTTGTTAGTTGTTAGTATTCTCTCTTATCTTCGTCTTCGACTTAGCTTAGGTACATAATTGAAAGTGCTTGAACATTACCGTTCCTTTGGGTTCGACCCTTGACTTGCCTCTATACTCGTATTTAGGTTTGTTAATTGTTTATAAATTTAGTTTGACCGAGGGAAGATTAGATAACATCCTAGTTTTCATCTTGTCAGGAAACTTCAGCTTTTTCATGTTGAGATGCAACCCAAAATGAGGTTCTTCCTCCATAATCATCTGCAGAACCTTCTCCACCACCAATTAAAGTGTCATCATCCAGATACCACGCTTAAAGAGCAATAATTTTAATATTTTTAAAAGGGCTTACTGATAAGGAAAAAAAAAACGAAGAGCAAACCCACCATGGCAAGAGTGCAGCCGGGCAGTAGTGAGGGAAACTAATGAAAATGGTTATTGAGACTACTGTCCATACAATAGAGCTAAGCTAGGTGGCTGAAGTTTGTTATGAAAAATGCCACGTCATACAGAGTTTGTTATGACTCTTGCCATGTCACACAAAGTTTGTTACAGCTGATTTATGGAGTTTGTTACAAGTTCCTCTAGATTCTTCGTGATGTAATATATGATATATATACTCTCTTATGCTGTAATTTCTGATTATTCAATCATAATACAAAAACACATTTCTTTTTAGCTTTTCTTCTCTCAGTTTTCTCTCTGAAATTCTCTCAATTACAGAAAATTACATGGTATTAGAGCTTTCTGATTTCAACTGTTCGACGATTTTCCTCACTGAAATTTGATGTTTGGTCTGCTTTCTCTTGAATTTTCTTATGATTTTTCAGTTTGACTCTCGATTTTTGGATCGAATTTGTTCTTCTGATCATTTTTTATCTTCAATTTTTTGGAATTTCTCTTTGTTTTTGAGGTTTTCTTATACCTAACAATGCAGCATATGAATCTACTCAGTATAATCTTCCTCTGAATCAGAATCCTGTAAGCATTTACTACATACATACTTTTGATGCTAATACTGCTCAGCTAGTCTCTTTCAAATTTAATGGAGAAGGTTTTACTAGTTGGAAACGAACTATGATGCTGACCTTATCAATTAAGAACAAGGCAGGCTTCGTCAATGGTGTTTGCAGAGTTCAAAGCCCGGGAGAGGTGCAAGGATTTGATGTGTTCTTGGATTTTGTTCAACCTAGATAAGTCTATTTCTAGAAGTGTTATGTTTCTGAGAACAACAAGGGAAATCTGGATTGATTTGGAGGAGAGGTATGGATACACTTCTCTAGCTCAGATTTATGCCTTAGAACAGAAATTAGCTAAGATAAGTCAAGAAAATCAATATGTTTCTGAATTTTTCACCAAAATCAAGTTAGTTTGGGATGCTATTGATGAAGCACATCCATTACCCTATTGCACATGTAATAATTGTACCTGCAATTTAACTAAGAAGATTTTTGAAAGACACCAGCAGAAAATGGTTATTCAGTTCATGATGAAACTATCTGACAAATTTGGTACTATCAGAGGAAATATGTTGACGATGTCTACTCTTCCTAAGGTCACTGAGGCATACAAAATGTTTGCTCAGGAGGAAAAACATAGAGAGATCTCTTAGATGTATAATTTTGGTTATTCTATGGCATTCATAGTAGACAAGAGGAAGTTTATTACTTATGCAGGAAATTCAAAGCCATTCAAGACTCAGGAATCAGGTTATTTCAATAGGCAGAATTCTTCTTCTTATAGGCCTGGACCTTCTGATCAGAAATCTAATAGACCCGCTGGCTCGAGATATTACTGTACTCATTGTGAGATTCCTAGTCATAGCATAGACAGATGCTTTATGGTTATCCTCCTGATTTTAAAGGATTTAAAGGTAAGAGTGTTGCTGCTATGACTTATGATGATGCTGCTATGGAAGTTGATGATTCTTCTAAGCTAATTACTATTGGTCACTTGAAGAAAATCATGGATGTGTTAGGAAGTCAGAAGCCAGCTGAATCTCAGTCTGATAATTCACACAGCCTTGCAATGATGGCAGGTAATCATTGTCTTCTATCTTATTCTAATTTTAAGTGGCTTTTTGATAGTGGTGCTACTGATCACATTTTTTCAGATATAATATTTTTTTTTTCTGAATTTAAACCTACTTCTCATCTTGGAAAATGCAATACTATACCTGATGGCAGTATAGTATTGGTACAAAATGTTGGTATAGTGAAGTTGAATGATAACATTTCTTTGCTAAATGTGTTACATGTCTTAGATTTTAAGTTCAATCTTATATCTATGCATAAATTGTGTAAGGATTTGTTGTGTGAATTGACTTTCACTCATAACAAATGCTTTGTTCACACTCAGAGAGGTCAATCGATTCCTCTTGGTAATTTGAGATCAGGTTTATACAATTTTGAAGAGGAGCACGACAAGGTGGTTAGCAGTGTTTCTGGTGATTAAATGTCTGGCTGCAATTGATGATGCAAAGCTATGGCACTTAAGATTAGGTCATCTCTCTTTTAGTCAGTTGAAATTAGTGAAACCTGACTGTGATGTCAAGGCTTACTTAAAAGACACTATTTGTCAAGTATGTCCTAAAGCTAAGCTGGCTAGATTACCTTTTTCCTAGTAGTTCTATTAAAACTGTTGCTCTATTTGAGTTCATACATATAGATGTTTGGGGCCCACACTCAGTGAATACACCAACTGGATGTAATTAGTTTTTGACCATTGTAGATGATTACTCCATATTTACCTGGGTATATTTAATGAGGAATAAAACTGAATCTGTTATAATTATGTCTGATTTTATTTCTATGGTGTCAGCTTAGTTTAATTCCAAGCTTAAGATGGTTAGATTAGATAATGCACAGGAATTATGTGAAGGTGCTATGAAAGCCTGGTTCAGTAAGTTTGGTATACTAAATCAAACTAGTTGCAGTGATACACCCCAACAGAATAGGGTGGTTGAAAGGAAACACACGCACATATTAGAGACTGCTAGAGCTCTATATATACAGTCAAAGGTACTTGGTAGATTTTAGGGTGATAGTGTGCTTTGTGCTGTCTATCTGATTAACAGAATGCCACTAAAGGTGATAAATGATAATATTCCCTTTAAGAGATTAAAAGGTTTTGTGCCTGATCTTTCTCATCTTAAAACCTTTGGTTGTCTTTGCTTTGCTTCTACTTCTAGAATTCAGAGCAGCAAATTGGATAATAGGGCAAATCCTTGTGTCTTCTTGGGGTATTGAGTTAGTCAAAAGGGCTATAAACTTCTTGATCTCACAACTTTTAAGATTAAGGTTACCAGATGCGTTGTCTTTCATGAAAGACGTTTTCCCTTTCATCTTTCTTTTCTTAAACAAAATCCTGCCTCTGCCATTTCTAATGCCATATATCTGCCTCCAGTTACCTCTTACTCTATGCCTAACATTGACACTCATCATCATTCTCCTATTTTTCCAAATCATGAAAATTCTTCTTCTTCCTCTACAAGTTCAGAACACCTTGTCTTTCCTTCTCCTTCTATTTCTGATTCCGCTTCTAGTTCTGAGACTATTGTCAATACTGAGTCAATTGTTATACCATAGCCTGATCAAGTTCCTGTTGTTAGGACATCATCTAGGCCACATAAATTCCCTTCTCATTTTGATATATATACCAGTGTTATTCTGCTATATATGATGACCAGGCTATAGAACATTGGTGTCACTTGGTGTATTATGAGCAGTTCCCTGAGTCTTACAGGTGTTTTCTAGCTAACACTTGTGAGATACATGAACCATTTACCTATGCTGCTCAAGCTGCATCTAATCCCTTATGGATGGAAGCCATGAATAAGGAAATTGCAGCTCTTCTCAGGAACAATACTTGGGATTTGGTGGATTTATCTAAAGGCAAGAAACCTATTGGGTGCAAATGGGTTTTTAAGGTGAAATTAAAAGCGAGTGGGGAACTGGAAAGATGCAAGGCAAGATTGGTTTCTAAAGGGTTCAATCAGAAGTATGGGATAGATTATGAAGAAACCTTTTGAACACCATAAGGTGTTTAATAGCCATTGTTGTGAGTAAAAAGTGGCCATTATTCCAGCTGGATGTGAACAATGCTTTATTGCATGGAGAGTTACAAGAAGAGGTGTACATGAGAGTGCCTGAGGGGTTTGCAAACCCAGAAAACAAAGTATGCAGACTTAGGAAGTCAATATATGGGCTTAAACAAGCTTCCAGACAATGGTTTGAGAAGTTGGTTAAGTCACTCTTGAAGATGGTTTTCAGCAGTCTAAGAATGATTACAGCTTGTTTCTCAGGAGGAATGGTGATCTAATCTGTGCTGCTGAAGTGTATGCAGATGATATTGTTCTAACTGGGATAGATACAGATGCTATGATGAGTTTGAAGGCGAATTTGCATGATTTGTTCAATATTAAGGATCTAGGAAGGCTTAATTACTTTCGAGGAATTGAGGTAGGATATTCTTCTGATGGTGTTCTATTGAGCCAGAAGAAATTCACTAGGGAAATGTTGCATGATTGTGGTTTGCAGTTAAATAAAAAGGTTGTTACTCCTCTTCCCTTAAGTCTGAAGCTTCAACAGAGTTCTGGTACTCCTTTCCAAATCTAGAACAATACAGGTCATTGGTTGGGAAGCTCAACTTTTTAACCCATACAAGACCTGATTCGAGCTTTGCTATTCAGTGTTTGAGTCAGTTTATGCATGATCCTTACACAACTCATCTTGAGGCCTTGACTCATACTCTAAGTTATGTAGCCAACACTGAAGGGCATGTATAGACACCCATTTGTGTCTCCCCAAAACCAAACCCAGTGATGAGTACCTTTCACGTCGAATCATAATCGAATAAAGTGAAAGTGTGGAAAGTTTAGTGTTGCGGATAGTTTTAATTTCTTTTCTCTTCTCTCTGTTTTTGAAAACCTATTTTAAGAAAACAGCCAATCCAATTTGGTTGGTCCATGACATGGGTCCAATAGTAGTGTAGTTGGATAGGGCTTGAAAAGAGCTTTTCAACGATATATTATAAGCCCAATTCCAATGAATATTGAGGAAGTTATAGCCAAATTACCAAACTGGGTCCGGTTTAAGCCTTGTATGCGGCCCAATGATCTAGAGGAGGGCATAATATGGATTTATCATTCCTAATGCAATTAGGAATGGTTTTAGTCTTCTAGATTCTTCTAGAAGGTTTTTTTCATTCCTAATTTAATTAGCATTGATAAATTGACTTTTGTTGACTTTTTAGAGTTTTTATCAGGATAAAAGAACGTTTTTGAGGAAAATACGATTTTATCCTCCTGTACGGCAATTTCTATCTGATTTTAAGAAAACGCATCAAAAACTTAGTCAGCGCCAAACGCCAGCAGTAGCGCCTGACGCTACGCTTGGCGCTAGCGTCAGCGCTTGACGCTAACGTCAGCGTTTGACGCTAACCTCGTTTTGCGCGTCAGAACTCTGTTTTGATTTTTTATCTTTTTGGCTGATTTTCTCTATAAATAGCTTCCTAAAAAACCCCGTTTTCATTTACCAACTCTCATCAAGATTCTCTTGATTTCTCTCTCTCTCTCTCTTTTCTAAACTAGCTTTTTCACAAATATAAAATTCCGCATTCATTAGATTTAGAAACACCTAGCCAAGTTCGAAGTTGTCTTCGCCCTAGACGTGAAAGGTTTAATTTCTGAGGGTTTGGTCTCAAATCTCTCTTTCAATTATTTAATTTAATTGTTTTGTTTATTATTTTACTTGAAGTTACTAATGTGTGTATTTTGTTATTAGAAAGAGGTACGAGAAATCCAAGTAAGTACTTTAATGGTTTAAATGATATTATGATATAGAAGTCATGCTTAGATTGTTATTTTGATTCCTAGTATCATGTTAGGATGTTTTCCTTAATTTGATGTTTAGGGTGACAACAATAAATTCCTAGTATCATGTCTAGGGTAACTTTAATATTAAATATGATTAAAAGTATGATGCTTCCTATGTTCTTCCTAATATTTATGATTGTTAGTATCATGTTAGGGTTAAAGTTTTGATCTTTATTGTTTAGTGACATGTTAGGGTTTGTTATTAATCTTGTTAGTATCATGCCTAGGATCTTGCTATTATTATTATGCTTTAACATGATTATTGATTATATTTATTATAATGATTATTATTTTTATTATTATTATTATGTTGCTTGATATTTTTTTTTATTGCTTGATCAAGTCTTTTATGTATGTTTAAAGGGAATTGATACTTGTAATCACGCTTAATAAGATAATTAATAATCTTGTTTAGGGTTAACATGATTATAATTCAAGTGATCGTCAATAATAGTTTGTTTGTGCATTAATATTCAACCAACATAGATAAACAGGTTTAGGGTTAATCCTATTGATTGCATGTTAGTCAGAAAGCGCACATGAATACGATCGGAATAAAGTAGAGGCCTATTATTAGGGCAGGTTCAATCTCTTTTAGATTGAATTTGTACCTTCATCCCCGAACTACCAGTCATGGTTCCAGACCTATTGGAGTTGACGATCTTCTGAATCGTTAAGGGGTGTAACCTTCACCTCGTGAACGGTTTACAAGTTCCTAAAACTTGTTGGCGACTATTTTGCTCTATCTTCTTTCCCTTTGGACGCTACCATGCTTAAATGTATGTTCACAGTGGGGTTCAAGGTAGGGGATTAACGCTTGAAATATTCCCTACATCATGTAATTTTGCTTAAGGATTTAGATGAATTGTCCTTAATTACATGCCTTTTCTGATTTAGATTGAGCAAGTTGTGCTGTTTCTAGAAGGCCAGTCACAGGTTATGTTTTGCTGTTGGGGAAATCTCATATTGCTTGGAAGTTTAAAAAGCAGGGATTGGTCTCAAAATCATCTGCCGAGGCAGAATATCGTGTTATGGCATCTGTAGCTTCAGAGGTGACATGGGCTGTCAGATTCCTTAGCTTGAAGAACTTGGTTTACTAAATTTGAAGCCTATTACACTCTTCTGTGACAACCAGTCTGCTCTTCATATTGCTCGAAATCCTGTTTTTCATGAGCGTATGAAGCACATCGAGATTTTGATTGTCACTTTACTCGAGATAAGGTGCTTGAAGGGTTTCTACATTTAGTTTATTTACCTTCAGATGAGCAGTTAGCTGATTTGTTCACAAAAACTCTGCCATCACCAGGTTACAGTCTTTATTGCTCAAGTTGGGTATGAATTCTCAGCCTCATTTATCTCCCAACTTGAAGGGGGGTATTGAGACTACTGTCCATACAGTAGAGCTAAGCTAGGTGGCTGAAGTTTGTTATGAAGAATGCCATGTCAGATAGAGTTTGTTATGACTCTTGCCATGTCACACAAAGTTTGTTACAGCTGATTTATGGAGTTTGTTACAAGTTCCTCTAGATTCTTCCTTATGTAATAGATGATATATGTACTCTCTTATGCTGTAATATCTAATTATTCAATCATAATACAAAAACACGTTTCTATTTAGCTTTTCTTCTCTCAGTTTTCTCTCTGAAATTCTCTCAATTACAGAAAATTACAATGGTAATGATCAGAAGTGTATCATGGCAAGATAGATAGTGTTACACTAGTCAAATTAAAAGTTCATCAAGTGTATATCTTGGAAAATATATTGATGGTGATAATGTCCAATTGTGCATCAATAAAATTGTGTGAGTGATCAGAATTACGTCATTAATGAAAGAGAAATGTTACAAAATGTATGTTAATTTTGAATCAAGAATGTGTTGAAAGCAACACTAAAAATTAGTGTGATAGTGGTCCTTGATAAGGATTAGTAGGTGTTATTAAGTTCGTGAGCTATTCCCCATTCTAGGTGTAAGTATGTGATTATTTGAGGAAAATTAGCAGTGAGATTATTTATCCAACAGATTATTGAGAATTTCGAATCTGAAAATAACTTTGATAGGGTATCTGGTTGGTGTTGTTTGTTGATGGATGATTGGATAGGGTATCGCGTTGGTGTTGTAATCTGATGTCGTTACTCTCCAAGCAATTTTTGAGTCATTTGTAAAAAGTAGGATCTGAAAGCTTCCCTTGTGATGTATGCTTTAACTTTGCACATGTGCTTAATATCATGTTTAAGAAAAAATGACATGAGAAGCAGCTTTAGTAAATATATTTTTCTTTAGACATTGAAGAGAGAATTTCTCTCCAAGTACATTATGGAATTCAAGAAATCAGAACAAAAATTGCAAAAAAATCTCAAATATACGGAGCACATAATAATTAGTATCCTTCGGGCTTGTAGGCAATGAAACTGATGCATTGCACTTGACGGAAGCTGTCGAATCCAATGATACGGATGAAGGCGTTGGGGTAAGCCTTCTTGGCTTCCTCGAGCTCGTTGACCACTTGAGTAGGGTCAGTGCAACCGAACATGGGCAACTTCCACATGGTCCAGTAACGGCCATCATAGTATCCTGGGGACCTGTGGTTCTCACGGTATACAAATCCGTGCTACATTAACAAAAAATTGTTAGCTATATGTAAATATCAAATCAATTTTGATTCAATCAAACACATGAAAATTCTGAAACAAATGGAGTAATTGAAGCTTACCTCAGTCTCGAATTCTAAGCAAGGAACCCATCCCTTGTTAAGAAGGTATTGGACTTCACTAAGCAAAGACTCAGTGGTCAAAGGTGGAAGGTAAGATAGGGTCTCGAACTTCTTCTTGCCAACTGGTGGCCAAACCTACAACATATTCGACAATTTCAATAAATTAATCATGTTATTAAAAATCCTTTTTTCAACTTAATGACTAATCTTTACATGATTTCCTTTCTATAATTGTGTTCCAAACAAGTAATTAAGCTCATGATAAAAATAAACCAAGATTTTCAACCCTTAATAATAGTTTAATTTCAGAAAAACAAGTAACACTACATATTAATCCTAACTAGGCAAGTACATTTTATTCGGTAAACATTGACTTAATTACAGAGTATTATTTTCCATAATGTTATATGTCACTGAAAATACCAATCACCAATGCATTATCTTTTGATACTTGTCATTTTAATAATATTGTAACAAAATGTTGCTAATCAATTACGATTATTATGAATCCTTATGTAATAAAGAACATTCCCTTAATGTAAATAGATGTACAATAAATATTATACCGAGTACAAGGGATATACAGCTATCACAATATAAAATAAAAGTTATCTATATGCTATCACTTATAGAGTTATAGAGGAAATTCACCAAATAAAAAATTACTCATAATGTACGAAGATAAGCACATAATAACCCGTCATCAAACTCATTTTGTGAAAGTTACCTACTTAACGTACAGTTAAATCATTATAAATTAAAAGTTACCTTAATGCAGGTTAAATGTCACCTTAAAATTGGTTATATATAAGTTGTATGATAATACAATGTAATGTACGCTCATTATTATCCTAAACAAGTAACCCATTATCAAACTAATCTCTTAAAATGTACCATAACTACTTAATATACGTTAAATATTTACTCATTTTAAAAGTTATCTCAAAACAGATTATAGGTTGCCGTTAAACTATTTAAAAATTATTCTAAAACTAGGCGTTGTACAATATAATGCACATCTATTATACTCAAATTTTGTATCTTTGCATAATCTCAAAATCCACATAGTAAAACTAGCAGTAGTAGTAGTACCTGCATGCATTGGACTCTACCACCGTTGCTAGCAACAGAGGTAATGTCATCGTTCTTCTTGGTGACAGGGAAGGCAACGGTTGACTTCAAGCCATTGAAAGGAGCCACCATGCTAGCTTGAGCCGGAGTTCGGTTAACGGCGGCGACAGTGGTGGAGGAGATGACGGAGGAAGCCATTTTAATTTTGTAACACTTAAATCACTCCTCTTTACTTGATACTATTACAACTCTTTTTCTTGTCACACCTTTTTCTTTGTTACAACCTCCCTATATATAAAGCCCTTTAACTTCTTCTATGTATTATTTTAAGAAGTGGATATGGTTTAAGGATAATCTTGACCGTTGATTCTGTTAGGTACACTTCAACAACCACACACAAATTTAGAAGCTAAGGAGAAGAAAAAAAATATAAATTTAATTATTTTTGAAAAATTTGGTTTTAATTACTGGCTATTAAGCACTTTGGATAAGTGCCACTTGGCAGAAATCCATATCTTATCTGATCTATAAAGGGAAGATGATAAGGAAAATGTATGTGTAATGGTGGTGAATTCAAGAGATCATACCTCTATCTTTAATTTGTTAATGTGTGGTATGACATTATATATGGTTTATTTCTATTTGTTTGTAGCTAAGGTTTTTAGACCATACCATCTTCATAAAAAAAAAATAAATAAAAATAAAAATTTGGAGTATATACCTGTTTTTTTTCATTTGATTTGCTCATACTACGTATATTATTGTAGACAACGGATTGATTTACTTTATTAAAAAAAAAAAAAATAGTCATAATGCAAATAATTTATAATGCACTTCGTGTAATAAGGCCCCGTTTGGTTTAATGTAAAACATTTTCAATGGAAAATTAGTTTTCATGGAAAACATATTTTCAAGGAAAAACACAATTGCAAATTAGTTTTCCTTTGTTTGGTTGCATACACGAAAAGTCCAAGAAAAATAAAAAATAAGAGTGGAAGGACCTCTTTGGTTTGATGTAAAAGGTTTTCATAGAAAATGACTTTTCCATTTTTTCCCATTTTCCTTTGTTTGGTTTCTTAAGGGGTGGAAAACAATTTTTCCAAGGGTGGAAAATTCATCCTTAATGATGGAAAACATTTTCCTTCCCAAAACAAGGGAAGCCACATTTTCCTCTCTCTTCCTTACCTCCTTTTTTACTTCCCTCTCATTCATCCTTACATTTTCACTCTTATTTTTTTTTGACATTTCTTGTATGCAACCAAACAAAGGAAAACTAATTTGTAATCGTGCTTTTCCTTGAAAATATGTTTTCCATGAAAACTAATTTTCCATTGAAAATGTTTTACATATTAAACCAAACGGGGCCTAAATGTAGAGATGAATGAGAGGGCAGTAAAAAAAAGAGGTAAGGAGGAGAGAGGAAAATGTGGCTTCCCTTGTTTTTGGAAGGAAAATGTTTTCCATCATTAAAGATGGAATTTTCCACCCTTGAAAAATTGTTTTCCACTCCTTAACAAACTAAACAAAGAAAAATGGGAAAAAAATGGAAAATTCATTTTCCATGAAAACCTTTTACATCAAACCAAACAAGGTCTAAAAGTCAAACAATTCGCTGTTCAATTACGGAGTATAAGTTATTATTAGAGTCTCATAAATATAATCGATAATATTCTCATTAATTAAATTTGAATCAAATGATATAAATTTACATTCTAAAATACATTTAAGGGTAGGAAACGAATTTGATTAGATAGTGCTACAAAGGTTTTTATTCAATAAATTATAAAATTTGAATTCATTATCTCATATAATATTATCTTCATAGTTGACAACATGAATAAGATTGTCAATGAATTGTATTGCTTAATTGATTTTGAGATTTACAATAAATAAATAGATAAATAAATAAATAAAAGATACATTGCTAGGTTGGGTTAACAAACCATGTAGGTTAAATAAACTCATTCAAAATACAAACAAGACTATATTGTATAATGATAATGTATAAATAAATTTTCTATTGTATAATGATAATGTAAAAAGAAATTTTCATGAACATATATACTTAATGGACATAGGACCGACTAGTTGGGTGAGATCGAGGATAATGGAATACTGAGACTGCTAATTTTAATCAAGTGATCGAATATCAAGTATGCTAATAATTCAATAGATAGCTTGATGAAAAGTTTTAAAGAATTCAAAAAAAAAAATTCAATAATTTATAAATAATAACTAATTTTAATAGCAGAATTTTTCAAATGAGTACATATTGTCAATCAATAGATTGAGAAAAATTAAATAAATCACTAAAATGAGAAAATATTATAAAGCGCCAATTTAACTCCTTTTATAAAATAAATTTCATGAAATTTTGACTTAGCTTGAATTACAATCATTCAAATATTCAATCATGAATGTTAATTTATTTTTATAGGTTTTTTTTAGTCTTGCAAAATTTAAACACGTTTTTTTAATAAATAAATACATGAATAACTTCACCCTACAATCACTAAAACTAATTATATGCGTACTTTTTAGATTTAATATGTATTGCTATTGTTAAGAAAAAAAAGTAAGAATAACTATTTAAATCAAATTTGATAATTAGCAAATGCTGCTAATAAATTAAAAAGTATTTGAGTTTGATAACCTACAATGATGATTATAAGTTGACATGTGTCTCAGATGAGAGGGAATAATGTCAACGCCTATTTTAATAATAGTTAATATATTTCAATTTTTTCTTTTCTTTTTTATTTTTTTTCTTTGAAGGAAGTTAGTTTTAGTTTTTAAAGCAAGTTATTGTATTTTTTGATAAGGAATTAAAGGATTAAAACATTATAAATTAAGCATCATAGAAAAAAAAATTGTACATATTCTTGTAGAGTAGAATATCCTTTTCAAGAAAAATCTACTTTAATAATCCCAGATTTGCCCATTTCCTTTAAATATTCTCAATTTTACAATTATTCGACAATAATACCAACTTTCACGTGTCTTTTCTTTCTTCAATCCTGATTACCGGTTATCTAAAGAAAAGTTTTTTTTTTTTCTAAACAACTTACTTGCCACGTGTTACATGTCAGTTGGCTAAAAAAAAACTTAAATTAAATTTAAAACCGAAAAAAAAACCCAAATAACCAAAACCACCGGCCACTAACGCTGGTGACAACCCATTTCCCCAGCCGACCATCCCCCCTCCCCTAAAACTATCGTCTTCAATCCAAACCCCACAATTACAAACTCTGAATTCATTATCTCATATAATATTATCTTCATAGTTGACAACATGAATAAGATTGTCAATGAATTGTATTGCTTAGTTGTTATAGATTTACAATAAATAAATAGATAAATAAATAAAATTTACATTCCTAGGTTGGCCTGGGTCAACAAATTATGTAGGTTAAATAAACTCATTCAAGATAGAATCAAGCCTATATTGTATGATGATAATGTAAAAATAAATTTTCTATTGTATAATGATAATGTAAAAAGAAATTTTCATGAACATATATACTTAATGGACATAGGACCGACTAGTTGGGTGAGATCGAGGATAATGGAATACTGAGACTGCTAATTTTAATCAAGTGATCGAATATCAAGTACGCTAATAATTCAATAGATAGCTTGATGAAAAGTTTTAAACAATTCAAAAAAAAAAAAAAAATTCAAGAATTTATAAATAATAACTAATTTTAATAGCAGAATTTTTCAAATGAGTACATATTATCAATCAATAGATTGAGAAAAATTAAATAAATCACTAAAATGAGAAAATATTATAAAACGCCAATTTAAATCCTTTTATAAAATTAATTTTCATGAAATTTTGACTTAGCTTGAATTACAATCATTCAAATATTCAATCATGAATGTCAATTTATTTTTATAGGTTTTTTTTAGTCTTGCAAAATTTAAACACGGGTTTTTCATAAATAAATACATGAATAACTTCACACCACAACCCCTAAAACTAATTTTATGCGTACTTTTTAGATTTAATATGTATCACTATTGTTAAGAAAAAAAAATAAGAACAACTATTTAAATCAAATTTGATAATTAGCAAATGCTGCTAATAAATTAAAAAGTATTTGAGTTTGATAACCTACAATGATAATTATAAGTTGACATGTGTCTGGGATTAGATGAAATAATGTCAACGCCTATTTTAATAATAGTTAATATATTTCAAATTTGTTTTTTTTTTCTTTGAAGGAACTTAGTTTTAGTTTTTAAAGTTATTGTATTTTTTTGATAAGGAGTTAAAGGATTAAAACATTATAAATTAAGCGTCATAGAAAAAAACTTGTACATATTCTTTTAGAGTTGAATATCCTTTTCAAGAAAAATACACTCTAATAATCCCAGCTTTGCCCATTTCCTTTAAATATTCTCAGTTTTTTAATTATTCGGCAATAATCCCAACTTTCACGTGTCTTTTCTTTCTTCAATCCTGATTACCGGTTACCTGAAGAAAAGTTTATTTTATTTTTTCTTAACAACTTACTTGCCACGTGTTGCATATCAGTTGGCTAAAAAAAAACTTAAATTACATTTAAAACCGAAAAAAAACCAAAAAAACCAAAACCATTGACCACTAACGCTGGTGACAACCCATTTCCCCAGCCGACCATCCCCCCTCCCCTAAAACCATCGTCTTCAATCGAAACCCCACAATTATGACCTCCCTCCCTTCTCCTCACATCGGAAACATTCCCCTCAGGCCTCACCCCATTTTTGTTCGTTTTTCGACATATGGTGGAGGCGTTAGAACTTTGTTACTGGGAGGCTTCGAGGTTTGGATTTAGGTTTGTTTCAGTGGTGTGGGGGGGGGGAGAGGAGGTGAGGTGGTTTCAGTAGCTGGGGTGTGGGATAAGGTTGGTTTCGAAAGTGGGGGGAAAAAAGGGACGATTTCAGGGTAGGGATTTTGGTTAATGGTTGCTATGAGTGGCGTTTTTGGGGATAGGAGTGGGGATTTAGTAAGTGTGACACTAATTAAAACATTGAGAGAGTATCTCAGATTCGAAACAAATTTTGTCTAAATTAATTATTTATTTCAAATCAATAATAGATAAAATAAAACTATATAAACAAGGTTTAAAACATGTGCTAGTTTGTTAAAGAATAATGAGGCCAACTAACACCAATCCAATACCAAAATTTTGGTTAGTGATTTGAATACTCATGGGTTTGGGTCCTTAAAAGAGAGGTGGAGTTACAATAGGTAAGGTTTGGCCCACTAACATTGAGTATGTGGAAACCAATAAGATTTGACAGAAGGGAAAAGAATAAGAAATGGGTGGAGAAAATAAGCAAGCCAACAAAATCACAACCATACGTTAATTGAGAGGCTATCAATAATCTTATCTTCTTTTTTTTATGGCTTGTAATATGA